GAATAATAAACATTGGACATTGAACCAGGTTAAACACTTGTAGGTTATTTTACATGGATTGATAATGTAAGTGCTTTTGATCAAAGGACACACAATTAGCATGGGAGGACATGTCCAAAGTGTCAAGTGTGATCACTTTAACRCTGTGGCTCTATACATCTGTTAGTATGTAAAAGAAAATGGTGACTAAGTCTAGTGCAGGAAAGAGATGCAAATTAAAAGGCACATTTTTTTCAATATAAAAACCCATTCCAACAAATATAAGACAATTATTTTTGCTTCTATTTTTTTGTGTGGCCCAGTACCAAATGGGTCATGAATTGGTACTGGTCCATGAGCTGTGTGGACTGTWGTCTTAACACCAGCTGCATATTTTAAATGTCAGCATCATTTTCTTATTAAATCCGACCAATCTGTGTCTTCTAGAGTAATTCCTCCTCCTCTGACATTATAATTGTGTTTAATTACAGTCATTTATGGACAGTAAGTGTTCTTTTGTACCTGGAAATTCAGCAACCACAAATGCTAATTTTACATCCAGAGTTTGACACGAAGAAAGAAAGAACCAGAGGAAATACCTCATCTGACATCAGTGAACCTTCACAGATTTTACCAGCGAGGCTTGAGACCAGCTGTCCAACCAGCTCTGCCCGTTGTTAGCCAGCACCAATCTGCCGTCATGTTAAACATGAGCTTTATGTCTGTTCTGATTGCATCACTCTCGCAGCTCAGAGCTCACTTTCACTCTGCTCAGCAGCTGCTTGGAGGGGGTTTAAGGATTTAGGCCTCTTGTTACGAAACATGTTTACAGTCATGTTTAAATCTGATGGACTTTGTAAGAAATGCAGTGGCATGGCCCAATCAAAGCTCCTGCAACAACTTTTTAATATTCCATTTCCTGTTTTGTCATAATCATCATAAAATGTGAGTCAAACAAAGCCCAAATATTTAATTTAAAATGTTTTCTCCCCCTGCTTCATCTGCTTGCTTCAGGTGCCGGTGTCCCCCAGTTTCAGCCCATCCTTCTGAACAGCGGATCACGAATCCAGCTGCTGAGCAACGGCTCGCTGCTCATCAAACACGTGCTGGAGGACGACAACGGCTTCTACCTGTGTAAGGTCAGCAACGACGTTGGAGCTGACGTCAGCAAGTCCATGTACCTCACCGTCAAAAGTAAGAGCTAGCAAAAATCCTTCTCGACACATACATCAAGTGCTAACAGCTAATGAGAAATCTCATAAATTACTGCATTGTTGCATGAGATTGCACATGTTATTTTAAAGGCTGGACTGAAACAGCTGCAACTGCATCATTTGTCAGCACAAGATGATGTTAGTCTAAAAGAATGAAAGGTGGCTGGCAGTGGTGGGCAGCGGTWATACAAAATTTAGCTCCGCAATTTCTAAAGMGCTYATGAAAATATTTAGGTCCGCAACTTCAAAAGCGCTTATGCCATGGAAAAAATAGCGGAAGCTAATTTTAAAGTGCAAGTTTAATTTGACACTTACTAGCTGACAACAATTCATGTACAATATGCACAACACTGCCAACTAGCAGTGTATGAACTCTTTTACGCCGATTGCTGGGGATGTGATTTCCTGAAACAGATCTTTGGCTCCTGGTCTAAAAATTGAAAAGTTGTTGAGGATTGCTAGTTCAGCTGATTCTTTAAAAAGTTGTTGAGGATTGCTAGTTCGGCTGCTTCTTTGTCTTTTTCTTTTGTTTGTTGTAGATTTTTCATTAAAGAAGCATCAATAAAGTAATTTTAAAACTGTTTATTGGAAAACTGAAGCGCTGCATTCTGGGTACAGGACGGATTTGATTTGTGACTGGAAACGAAAGCACGGAGAACAGGAAACTATCTTCCCTTCAAAATAAGAGCTTGGATTTTAAAGTTTTCCATGTAGTTGCTCCAGTTGACCAGTAGATGTCAGTCTTCATCAGCATGACATCTTTAAATCATTTCTGAGTCTCTAACCCCGTTGGCCGATTGCTTTGACCAATTACATCAAGTATTGAGCTCCAGCGTTTAAACTTTTTTTAAAGGAGCTCCGATTGTAAAGTAAAATAAATCAATACAAAATTTTAGTATGGATTACAAACATTAACTGTTTTTGCTAATGCCTTCCTGCTACGTAAGCAGACACAAAGCATTGTGGGAAATCGGAACCKTGACCCAAAGCAACAGTCAGCAAAGATGTATACCTTCTCAATAAGTGTGTTTATCTGGGAGGAGTGCTGTTGGATAGGTCACGTGTTGTGATTCATTGACAGCCATACCTTCTGCTGTTCAAGATAATGATGACTGGTAAATAATTAGTTATTAGCGGTACTGCATTTCAATTTTAGAAACCGCAAATCCGCTTATGAATTATAAAAATTAGTAAGACCGCTAAAGCGCAAACAAAAAATTTAGGTCTGCAATTAGTGGATTTGCGCTTTAGTGGGCTGGTGCCCACCACTGGTGGCTGGCAATATGCTTTCCCTGAAGGGATTTTAGGCTTTTAATTTGCATGAAGCAAACATCTTCTGGTGATTTGAATAGTTTGTGATAAAAAAAAACATTAAGCCTTCATTACTAATCTATTAAAACAGAGTGAAATAAGAATCAAAACAAGTCAGAAACAAGGAGCTTCTTAAACATTTTTTTTCTCCACAAACCTTTCCCTGAGCTCTCTCTCACTGAGCATGCTCCAGCTCACCTCTCTCTGCAGCAGTTGGTATGGTAATGTCCCAGACTCCAGGTTTTCTGCCTCCRCTGAGCATTAGCATGTAGCTCCTCTGTAGCGTGAGGAGTGACTCCTCATTTTTCTGGTGTTTATAGTAGTGGGGCTTATTTTTACTTTGCTCCAGTCATCAAATTGGAGCACAAGGCTCCCTGCTAACGGGCAGCTCTGTTTCTKTCGTCTTCAACTCGAACGAAAGTTAAGCACGAGAATGAGACAGATTTTATGTCTTGAGAAGATTTATTTCTGACCTTTACCCGCTTGGTGAAATACATTTGTGTGAAACTTTCCCTTTGGGTGAATTAGTTTTATTTTTTATTTTTTTTATTTCACTGTTGGCATGCCATGGATATTGAAGTGTCACTGTAATTAGGTCTTGCAGTGTTTAAGGCAGGGAGCTGTCAGTGCTGCAGCAGCAGGCTCAGAGACAAACACAACTGTGTTTTCATAGGTCAGTTTTCTGACTCTGCCACTCAGTTGCTATGCAGCAAAATGACCCGTGCTCATACTAACCTTCCTTATCTATTTTCTGCCACACACGGAGCAAACACTGTGGCTGAAGCTACAGTAAACTCCACTCCCAGCAGCATGACAGCAAGAACAGAGAAAATCATACAGGGTTAAAAAAAAACAATAACCTCATACACTTAGACAATAAAGCATGTGTTAAAAACATGTATTTCTCATGGTCAAAGAAACTCTTGAACATTTTAAACTRATAAAGTTGTTATTTTATCTGTGAAGAAATGTGAGTTTTGTGTAAAGTGAAAATTAATAGAAAAGTATGTTTTTCACACTCTGGCCTACTGCCTTGAGAAAAATTTCTGCTGTTACCCCATTTAAAGTTTTCACCATTTAGACATATCAAGTCATATAAAGAAGAAAAACATCCACATTAAAATGGTCAAAGTCAAAGAGAAAAACATTATGGGCTAAAGATTCTTCCAAAAYAATTGTAACTTGTTTTTTCCCAGATTTGACCTTTACAGTATAGGATAAAACTTTATTGGCAACAGGATCAAAATTAAGTGAAGCAGACAGGGAAAYAAATAAACAMATYGTCTCCATTGTTGTTTTGGTTTCTAAGGTTTCTGAGAAGCCATTTGTTAAAGTCTTAGTTTGTTCAGTTTACACAGAATTACCAAAATAAGAGATTTTTTAAAATCATTTTTAATTACATATATCAGTTTATGTGAAGGGAGGTGCAAAACCAGCAGAAAATCTCAGGTTTTGGATTTATTTAAAGTAGGATCCAAGGGCATAAAGTTCCTTTTTTTCATAAAACTAAATGTGTTCATGATTCTATCACTTTTAAGGAGATACATAAAACCAAATTATACCATTTCTTTGTAAATAAATGAGTTGTGCTTTTGTTTTAGTTTTARCAATTTGTGTTGGATGGAATTGTCTAAGAGGATTTTTTTAAATGATCTTTGAGTTTTTGCTTTAGCATAAAAAATAAGTAAAAGCTTGACCCATTAGGTGCACTTTGGTTTTGCTCCAAGCTTAGTTCAGTTTGTTGGTTTATTAKCCAGGAGCCGTGCACAATAATTAATGTTGCTGTAACTGTGCCAAAGTTAGCCAAAAGACTGTTTATCAGATGAAACAATTAAAAAAAGGCAAATCTCTGACACATTATTCAACATAACATAATATTTTTACCACATTTGACATAGGGCTGCGCGGTATATGCGGTAGACGGTAGAAACGGTATGAAGTTGGCCTACGGTAGAAATTTATACTCTACCCTTCTATCGTCATTACGCCATCACACCTGTGTCAGCATGGCTGCRAGTGYAGAGACAACTGAGCAGGAGGAGTTCGAAGTATAATGAAGAAATTCYAGCATTTTAAAACACGTATASARARAATAAATCCTCAAAATATCCCCCTCCTGCTGTAGAAAAGTTACGTCGTGTTGCGGGATCATTTCCTACCTCCCGCTGCAAGTCGCGCAGAGCGAAGCTTTAACAACTGTATTTTTTCATACCCAATTGTCGGAGAAAAAATGTTTTTTATGTATTGTTACCCACAGAGATTATTTTTAAAAAGGACGTGGACGTTCGTTCTGTCGTAAATCCATCGGCTTCTGCTCTGATGATGAAGATGAGAGCGCAGCAGAGCAGCAGCTAAGTTCASCAGGCAGAAGCTCATTGTTTGGCAGGCAGATAATGAATCAAAAATACTGGGTTTAATTAAGATTACAGTTTTCTCTAAAAAAATGCTCTAAAAATTACATTGTCTTAACTTTTTATGATTATTTTCTACCGCGATATATACCGTTACCATGAAGGGGTTCAATTTATACCGTGATAAGAATTTGAGGTCATACCGCCCAGCCCTAATTTGACAGGATTAAAAACACTAGTAAGAAATGAAAAGTGACCTCAGTCTTGCCAGAACTGAGCTCTGTAGTAAAGCAGTGGCCAGAGCTGTCACCTCACAGCAAGCAGGTCGCAGGTTTGCCCCTCTGRCCTGAAGCCTTTCTGTGTGGAGTTTACGTATTCTCCATGTGCATGCATGTGTTTTCTCCAGGTTCTCTCGTTTCCACCTGCATAACAAAAACATGCATGTTAGGTTAAATGGTAACTTTAAACTGTCCCTAGGTGTGAGTGAGAGAGYGAAAGGTTATCTTACTTGTGTTTAGGTGTCCATGCCTGCGATGGTTTTCAGACCACACCTCTCACACAATGACTGCTGGAGTTAGGGACAAGCTCTTTTTTGACCCTGAACGGAAAGAAAGTGACAGATGGATAATGTAACTTAAATTTAAATAAGCAGCAACAGTCTAAATATTTTAAAGCYGCTAGAGATCATTTGACGTGCAGCTTTTGCAGAAAATACAGACGTTCATGTTTGTATTGTCCTTGGCCTTTTAGACAAGTTGAATTTACATGAACAAAACTGTACTTGTGCCCACTTTACAGAAAACTCAAGTGTTGCATAAAATGACATCATCAAGTCTTGCTTAAAGGAAACCCAGTTCTGTCGACTTACCCCTGAATAATTTTTCTTTGCTTGTATTATTTTAAAGTCATTTATGATTTGGTTAGCTTTGATGCGGCCTYGTGTTCTCTACGCTCTCGCCCCGCTCCCCTCACCCCGTTGCCATTGGCTGCTCAGACATTACGAACCGACTCAGCCACATGCTTTCCACTCATCAGCAGATCACATTTCAATCCCCAAAATGTACTTTCAATAAAGGAGTACTTACTTGCATGAGTGGTTTGAAAATGGGAGCGCATTACTGCAGTGCTCTCCACCAACACCCATCGTGTCTGGAGCTCCATCAGTTTGCATGTGTAACTAAATGTTGGTTTTCATTTGTAAACAGCTCCAATTTGTCGTTATGCGTAAGTATGAGTTTGTGTATCCGGGCACGCTGCGTTTCGTGTGGTTATTGCATGCGTCTGTTTGAGGCGTTTGAACTCTCGAGTGCATTTCTGC